GTAAAGCATACACAATTTGGTCTGACGAGGCAATTGACGTAGATACATTACTACTTAAGAACAATGCTTGATCTCCTAAACTTGTCACTTGAGTTAATCCATATGCATAATTGCTCCCTTCCTCATGACATTCATCTAGCCTCCAAACAAAAAAAGCCAGTTGTATAGCATCCAGTTTCCTTCTCCTCTTCGTTGCCAGAGTCTTTGACATCCTCCACCTCATAAACATTATATTACTATCAACATCACCCATGTCCTCCTCGTTATCATCACCCTATTCCTCGCCATCAACATCATCTTCTTCTACATCATCATCATCATCACCCTCTTCCTCATTGTCAACATCATCATCGAAATCAAGTAAAATACCCTTTTCGAAACAAGAAACAAGTAGAAGATGTCCTGATGATTTGACTAGATACTTTTGATATGTATAATTCATTTCAATTGGAGTAGGGCGATAACTGTTGCTTTTAGGCTATTGGCATCATCAAAGTCACAAACAACTACAACTCCATGAACATTTATGGCATAAAATTTGCCATTGTAGAAAATAATATCTCGATAAACTCGAGATTGGATGGAGATATTAGTCCAAACAGTATCTCCTAATTTTGTAAAAGCCAATATAGCACACTCCATAAATAGAAACTATAGTACAATCCTCATTATAATCATGTTAACTTTTCTCCTTAAGAGGATTTGAGGACATCGTTATTTTCAAAACAAAGAAATACCAAACCTCTTGTGGCTTGAATTTCTCATTATATTCATACTGATTAGGGAAGGTCAGCATAGGAGGTAGGTAAATTTGTTGTCTGGAGAAGGGTTGCAATAAATTGATTTGTAAAACACTGCAAATTGTTCACAACCATCCATAATGTGCTCCTGTGCACTTCCTGCCACTTGCCAGAAGCAAGTGGAGTTGATATGTCTTTTGAGGTTAATAAGTTTAGAAAGCAACGAATTGATGCATTTTGATCAGCTTGATTTTCTTGATCCTCGGTATCTACTTTTTCAGCAAGCATGATCCGAGTATATCTAGTAGGCAATGAAGGTTTCTTCTTCAATATTGAAGTCAATGATTGCCAAGATTTACAAACAGTAGCAAAGGAAGTAAAATCCTCTATTACAGTTAAACATTGTGCGATAACAACCAAAATGTCCATTGGAAGATTGGTCCAATCTGCCATGTTCAGTTATCAACTGCAACCCATAAATTCAAGATGAAAGTAATGAAATAAATGAAATAGGGAAAAAGACGATAAATTTTTTTTTTTTTTCAGTCCCACAACAAAAATTTATACTCATGAAGAAAATTAGGTATGTCAATGCAGCAACGAGCATTCAGATTTCCCTTTTCTTCCATTCATTCTTTGAGTTCGAGCTATATTAAAGCAAAAGTGAATTTTCATTACAATAATTCAGAAATACAGTTTATTGATTAGTTGGATTAGTTAAAATTATCATTAATTAATTATGAGATACTTATATGTAAAATGATAGAAAAGTATTTTAGAATATTTGACAAAAGATTAACATCAAACTATATACTTATGAGTTTGTTTGGGAGTGATTTTGAGAATTGAATTTTTGACCGTTAGGAGAAAAGTGGGATCCATCTGTGAAAGAAGAAGTCAAATATGACGGCTGAAATAGTGAAATAACGGTCAAAAAATCAAATTTTTGGGTGAAAAATGGGCCCAAACAGGCCCTATATATCTCTACTTTCTTCCCGGCATAATCCAGCGTAAAAGGTTCACATCGCGAGCCTCATACCTTGAGTAATCACAATCCATTGCATACATGTAACAGCATAAACTTAAATTAAAAGGAAAGGATATCTAGAAACAGAGAGAAATTAAATGAGCAAATAAGTATTAATATTGAGAAATTGATAACAAAATACTACTGCAAGAATAAAAGTAAAAGAGTTGGCTGAATTTTTTTACAATGTCAAGGTAACATGTAGTTCAATGAAAATTGAAAAATACATGCTACTATGACCATTTTTCAGTAAAACGGTTCATCCGTTATCCGTAAATTCACTTTCTATGTAAGATGAAACAACTTTTTACAGAAATGACACACGATAAAAGAGCATCCAGGGTTCAGTCTTTCATCAGATTTCATCACAATCAATGAAATAAAAATCAAAGTACTTTTACCAGTTACAATTAAATCTTAATATAAATATAGCGATATGTATAAATTAAATTTAAAAAACATGAACAGAGTTTTGAAATTGACAAATAATTTTGGAGAGAGATTTACTGAGAAGGGAAGAATATGGATCTGAGAAATTTGAGCAAATTGTAGTATTGTAGCTACTTTTATAATTGGGGTTGGAGAATTAAGATTTTTATGAATCTTTGTTGGTGTAGGTTTCGTAATCTAAGTCGCCATTAGGTTTTTTGTTCTGTTCATAACACTATGAGGAAAAGAACAAAATTGTTTGAATAAAAGTATAAATATTCTAGATATTGTTTGAAATCAAAATACTAGTAAGAATAGAACTAAAGGTGTTGCCCCTTATGGGGTGGCCGAATTGGTGGAGTATGTGAGCGAGGAGACTTTTGGTCACAAGTTCGATTCCCTGTACCAACACTTTCTCGGTCGAGTCTGTCGCATCGGGCTTGTCTAATGCGTTTACCTGGCCTGCGTGGTTTGCAGGCTATTGCATTAGTCCAAGGGTTTACCTAGTGCGCACCCAAAGGATAACGGCTGCGGATTTGCCCGTCATAAAAAAAAAAAAGGGTGTTCGTTGAAATATTTTACAATGTCAACGTAAGTCATACTTCATGGAAATTGATATAACTTTTTCGAAAAATGCCACTTGACCTTCATGGATGATACTCCCAATGACCGCGCCCTCACTTGGGATGCATGGGTCCCGTGCGAATAAAATACAACATCACTACAGTGCCCGAATTTTTTTCACAGAGGGAATGACCAACTCTCACAATGGTTGGGCCCCACTTTTTTTTTTGGACTTTTTTATTCACGCGGAACCCATGGCTTGTGAGAGGATGTCAATCATTTGGTCATCCATTTTCGAGCAAAATAGTTTAATTCAAAAATAATCCCCAACCCTCATATTTGTGTGTGTGGTTATCCCCGCGGGTCGTGTAGCATTACTAAACTTTTTTAGTAAAATGGTTCATCCGTAAGTTCACTTCTTTTTGCAAGATAAAATTCTTTTTACACCACAAAAAGAACATCCAAAATTTTGCCTTTCATATATAAAGGTTGAATTCCAACCTTGAGGGTCCCCATCGTTCTACCCCTAGAGTTTTGTGAGGCAGGTAAGTCGCGGGATGTGCCCCAACATGTCAGGGAACAAGATCTGCCTGTACACTGCGCCTACAAAGGAGTCCAATTCCATGTTTCAGGAATTGAACCCCCCACACTGCGGCTGCCAGCAAGGCGTGAGATAACCTCATTCCTGTCATTTGCACCACTAGGCTATGCCCCAGAGGGGCTTTGCCTTTCATATATTACTGTAAAGCCGGCCGTCACAATAGAAGAAAAAAAATCAGTCTTTCTTCCAATTTCGATTAATCCTGTTTTGTTCGAATTAAGATCTAAATTTGAATTTAAATCAAAGTCAACAATTAATTTTAACCAAATGTTTTATAAAATAGGCAACTTTTTAACCATACATTTCATCAACTTTTATCAAAATCTATCAAAAATTTGACTTTAATTCCACTAAATAGGAGCTAATGTAGCCGTATTTGGTGAGAATTAAAATCAAAATTTTAGTAGATTTTGATAAAAGTTGATAAAATATGAAATTGAAAAAGTTGTGGAACCAATAAAATATATAATTGAAATTAATTTTTGACTTTGAGAGCATAACAGAAAATGTATCGATATGTATAAATTGAAAAGGATTAAACCCCTTTATCCGGGCTACATGGTCCACCCACCTTTCACTGGGGCAGCTGTGCAACATGGTTCAAAGAATTGAAATTGATAAGTACCTTTGTAGAGAGAGATTAGTTGTACGGGGAGAACAGGGATATTGGATACACGAGCAAGTTATAGTATTGTGGCTGCATTTATAATGACAACCATTATTTAAATTTATTTTTTCTACGCTCTTGTTTTCAATCACACATTCACGCAATAAAATATTATAAATGTAAAATCAAAACTTTTTCTACTTTTTAATCATATTCTTGAAAAAATCACTATTAAAACTTTATTTTTGCAAATTAATAACCATCAAATCGTGCCAAAAATTTTATGAATCCTTGTTGATTTAGGTTTCCTATAAGCCAATGATTAGATTCCCCCCCCCCCCCCCCCCCCCCAAACTCACCACCTCCTCATTGAGAACCACTTCCAAACCCACCACCTAATTGATGTATCTATTTATGTATGCTTAGTTTGTTCTTTATTGGGGGTTGGGGGGTGGGGTGGATACTAACGAGCTATTGCCAACAATAGACATTGATAAAGTTACCAAATCTTAAATAAACCGACCCATTTAACCCAGCCTGTGTTGGCAAGGTCCAGGCCCATTTACAAGAGACTTTTGTTTAGATTTGGATTATATAAGAGTTGAAAGCTTGAGAGGAGACAAGGAACTAGAAAAGCTAGTATTGTGTGAAGTGGAGACATAGATTTGCTATTATTGTAAGGCGGCCATTTTGAAGTATCCTGCTTTGTCCATATGAAGAGTGAACACAGTTCCATAAGTAGCTTCCTTTACATTGATCAACAAGTTTGAATCCGAACAAAAAAAAAAAAAAATTGCACACTCGATCAATCTATTACCTTAGCAGCAAGTTGATTTTTTTACTATTTTATTGTAGTTGCATGATCAATCACCAATAAAAATCTCATGCCAATTGTCTTATTTGAAAAATCCATGTTTATTCACAAAATCCCTAAAAAATCAAGATTGCTTTGTTCATAAATGTCATGATAAAGAGCAAGTTTTTTCTGTTAGGAGAATAGAAGTAAAAATAGGATTAAAGAATTCAAACATGGCAAAATACAAGCATTAATCTCGAATATCTTAACGAATTTTAAGTTTGATTGTAGCTTTTCCAAAATACAATATCAAGCAAATATGTTGTAGAATTAAATAAACAACAATGAAAGGAATAATTTAAATGACAAGCAAAAAATGCAATGTGTCCTTGGAAATCAAATGTACCACAATGGAGGTGAAATATTACTACGAGATTCCCCTGCATAATTTAATTGAGTGGTTTTGTCTTCCATATTAAATATTCCCGTGTCATGGCCACCTCCGCCTGGTTCCTCGAAATAGAGCTCATAGTTATCATCCGTGAAGTATATGCAGTTTGGCTTGATAGATTCTGACGAGGCAACTGATGTAGATACATTACTACCTAAGAACAATGCTTGATCTCCTAAACTAGTCACTTGAGTTAATCTATATGCATAATTACTCCCCTCCTCATGACATTCATCCAGCCTCCAAACAAAAAAGCCAGTTGTATAGTATCCAGCTTCTTTCTCCTCTTCGTTGCCACAGTCTTTGACATCCTCCACCTCATCAACATTAACATTACCATCAACATCACCCATGTCCTCCTCATTATCATCACCCTCTTCCTCATCGTCAACATCATCATCGAAATTAAGTGAAATACCCTTTCGGAAACGAGCAACAAGTAGAAGATGTCCTGATGATTCGACTAGATACTTCTGATATGTATCATTCGTTTCAATTGGAGCAGGGGCGATAACTATTGCTTTTGGGCCATTGGCGTCATCAAAGTCACAAACAACTACAACTCCATGAACATCCACGGCATAAAATTTGCCATTGTAGAAAATAATATCTTGATAAACGCGAGATTGGACGGAGATGTTAGTCCAAACAGTATCTCCTAATTTTGTAAAAACCAATATAGCATATTCTCCATAAATAGCAACTATAGTACAATCCTCATTATAATCATGTAAACATTTATCCTTAAGAGGGTTTGAGGACATCACTATTTTCGCAACAAAGACACCCCAAACCTCTTGTGGCATGAATCTCTCATCATATACATACTGATCAGGGAGGGTCAGCATAGGAGGCAGGCAAATTTGTTGTCTGGAGAAGGGATGCAATAAATTGATTTGCAAATCAATGCCAATTGTCCACAACCATCCGTAATGTGCTCCTGTGCACTTCCTGCCCCTCGCTTCTGGCAACTGGAGTTGGTATGTCTTTGAGGTTAATAAGTTTAGAAAGCAACGAATCGATGCATCTTGATCATCTCGATTCTGTTGATCTTCGGTATCTATTTTTTCAGCAAGCATGATACGGGGATATCTAGTAGGCAATGAAGGTTTCTTCTTCAATATTGAAGTCACTGATTGCCATGATTTACATACAGCAGTAAAGGAAGTAAAATCCTCAATTACAGTTAAACATTGTGCGATAACAACCAAAATGTCCATTGGAAGATCCGTCCAATCTGCCATGTTCAGCTATCAACTGCAGCCCGTAAATTCAAGATGAAAATAATGACATAAGTGAAATAGGAAGATGATATTTTTAATCAGTCCCACAACAAAAATATTTACTTATGAAGAAAATTAAGTGTGTCAGTGCAGCAACGAGCATTCATATTTCCCCCTTATTTTTTTCCTTCATTCTTCGAGCTATATTAAAGCAAAAGTGAATTTTCTTTACAATAATTCAGAATACTGTTTATTGGAATAGTTAGAATTATCAATTAATTAATTATGAAATACTTCCTAAATCCTAATTGATATTAACATGTGTTTGTATATTGTAACTCTGACTCATTACTCATAAGAGAGGGCTGAGGGCAGAAAGCCAGAAAGGTACAAATCAAATTCCAAGATATCGAAGACGGAACGGAAGACTCGAACAAAATTTCATATCCTCAAAATTCACTGATTCAAGTTGGCTTCTTAGTTCTTATACCTAGTATTTATGATTTATCATATACATAATACAAACCAATTATAATTTCCCCTAAGATATCGAAAGATTTTCATGTTCTAATTAGTAAATTACTTACACTAACCTAACCCAAGTCGGCACTCGACAGCCAGGCGGTGAGTCGGCACTGGGCGGTCCTGCTCGACGGCTACGGCAGGGGTTGATTTTTGATTTTTGGGAATGATTACAATTGGTTTTGTAAAGGCAAGGAAACGGGAATAGGGGTTTATAAGTGAATAAGAATAGGGAGAAGTTGCATAATAGGTTATGTAGTGGAAATTCTACCACACACTTACCTCCAAATTATAAAAAATGGAGATACGACACTAATATGCTCCTATCAAATCAAGTAAAAAAAGGAAGGGAAAAAAAGAGGAAAAAAGGTATAGATGGTAATGTATTCTGATTCATGGAATCATGGTGGTAATTAGTGTCAATTAAATATGATCTTTTTTTGAAAGAATTAAATATGATATTTAGTTGACGATTTTTGAGGAATTGTAATAAATTGTTTTGTATTTTAATTGGAGTTAATTACCAAAAATAGTGCCATTACGTTAAAGTAGTAGTTTTGAAATATTTAATCACAATAGGAAGTAATTTGAGAATAAGAAAGATGTAATAGTAATTCTAGAATTGTATTTTTTCATTGGGTTATATACGAAAATTTCTTATGTATTGATACAAATAAGTGCGCTAAATAAATGGGCATAATATTATATAAATTAGTAGGCTAAAGATTAAACAAAAAAAAAAAAAAAAAAAAAAAGGAAGAGGAAATTAGACTCACTACCCTAAAAAAATATCAAATTAGATTTATACCCTTTTTAGGATTATAACCTCTCAAGATCGTAATTAATACGTTTATAAAACTCCAAACTGATCAAACTATACCAGTTAGTTTCTCTACCATCTCTGCCTTCATCAATAAATTTTCTCCGGTCACATTCAGTAGCCACAAATTTTCTATCTATAAACCCCAAAATCACCACGCTCTTTACTATCATTTAAAAGTTCACGAATCTCCAGTCCAGCAGTTTTGATGCTAGTTCGACATAGTGCCTCAGCTTTCTTCGATTGTCTCACCGAACAGTGGATAGAAGTGGAGATGTAGTAGTAAATGGCTTGGGTTTGTGGTAATAGTAGTGATGGTGACGGGAGGAATGGGGCTTGTGTTGACAGCATGGAGAAGAAGTGGCAAAGGGATTTGGGGGAATGACGTTGATCATAATGGATCTCTTATTCCTGGCCAACTGTTTTCAATTGGGAATCGCAAAAGCAATTTTCTAACTTATTAGTGGTTTTGTCTGAGATTCTGAGTGAGTTCATTCACAACTTTCTCTTGCCCTTCTCTAGAAATAGGAGTATCCCTTTTATGATATGTCGATAAACACTGAGGTGCTCCTACAATATTTGTTCTATAATGTGGATGTTGGTAGTTGTAGCTGTTGCATCTATAATCCCTAGTAACAGCAGCAAACTTCGATTTATTATAGCTCCTACAAAATATTTGAGTTAGTTTTGGCTAATTTATCACTATTTATCTATCACCACATGAGTATAGAACCCACCAACGAACTAACTGATGACTAAATTGTGTTGTGTTAATGACCCTATATGAATTAAACTTTTGGCTAATTTTGCTTAATCATCCAAACTATCACTGGTTCCCTATCTAGTTTAAGGGTGCTTTCATGACTTACACAAGTTGGTGTTAAAAAATGTTGAGCATTTGGCTAATTTTGCTTGATCTTCCATACTAATTATTCAACGAGTGTTTGTTACTTTTTTAGTATTCGTCACTTTTTGAATGTTTGTTACTTTTTTGTATTTATGTCACTGTTTTTTTTTTGTCACTTTTTGAGCATTTATCACTTTTTTTTGTCCCTTTTTTTGAATTCGTGTAACTTTTTTACATTTGTGTCATTTTTTTAAATTCACTACTTTTTTTGAATTTCTGTTACTTTTTTAGTAATTGTCACTTTTTTGAATCTGTGTAACTTTTTTAATTTGCATCACTTTTTAAAATTCGTCGCTCTTTTTAAATTTCTATCACTTTTTTGAATTTTTGTTGCTTTTTTTACTAATTGCCATTTTTTTTGAATTTTTATCACTTTTTTTAGTGTTTGTCACTCTTTTCAATCATTTTTTTGAAATTATTATCACTTTTTTATTGACAAACGTCATTTTTTTTAATAAAATTGACATTGTATATAATTTTTTAATGAAAAAGTGATACTAACTTTTAAAAGTGACATTGTGTCACTTTTTTTTTTTTTTTAAAAAAGGTGACAATTTTTGTAAAAAGTGATAATGTGTCATTTTTTTAATTTTACACAGTATTTTTACTTTCAAAAATTTTTTCATATGATTTTTCAAAAGACATAATTTTAAGGGTATTTTTGTAAGTTACCCAAAAAAAAATTGAGGTAGGCTAGCCCATTTGAAATCAATTGTTGGTGGGCTAATATGGACTACTATATTACCATTTGGAAATTACATCAGACCAGGCCTTTGAAGAATACAATGCAAACATCAGTCAGGAAGGTTTTTTAAGCATAGTTCAGGTATTGAGTTTTATTAATTAAATATTATTTTAATATTTAACAATATTAATAATAAAATAATAATTATTTTATTATGGTGCGTTCTGTTAAATATCTAAATTCAAACTACTAGTATTATCAAAACCATTCTCTCTCTCCCTCTTCCCCCACTATCTCCGGTTACTTCATTCACACTTCGACCATTTCTACTACATTTTCAGCCTGTAATTTCCACTAGTCTCTGTATTACCAACCAAAACCGTTATATTCATTACATAATCCATTAGTTATTGGTAGAATATATTCACGACAATTGAAGTTTTTGTTGGCGACATAAAATGGAGAAATCCAAGGGTGCAGAAAGGGTGACTAATGTTGAAGAGTTGTCACAAAGAAGTCGCAAGAGGAAGGATGAGGGGAGCCCCGAAAAAAACCCATTGAAAAAGCACGCAGTGACTGTGCGGAAAGGGTTATCAAAAAAGGTTATTTCGTCCCCTTTTTTGTTTTTAATGTAAGTGATATATATGTATACAAAAATAGTTGTGTAGTATGTATTGAAAATTAATTGGAGAAATGTGATTGTTACCCTATTCGATTCTATTCGTGATTGGAATGGGTTAGGGTTTTTGAATTGAATCCCATTTATCAATGAAATTTATTTTTCCCTTTTAACTTTATGAATAATTTGTATTCTAACCATGAAGAGACTACATGTGACGAGGATGTGCCAATGTGACCAAGGTTGTTATGAATCCGTGGCTTACTGCATTACTGCATAACAGTGTGTCATGCCTGTGATCGAATTGGAATGTGTTGGGGGTTTTGCTTTTGTAATGTGTTATGAATTTGTGTTTTGGAATGTGTTCCCAATCTATTGTGTTGTGAATCTGTGACCATGATATGTTCTGAATGGGTTATCTGTGACCATGATGTGGGAATGCGTTATGAATTTGTGGCTTGACTGCATAAACGGTATAACAGTATGTTATGCCTTTGAGCTTACTGCAATGGGTTGGGGATTTTGCTTTCGTAATGTGTTATGAATTTGTGTTTTGGAATGTGTGAATCCGTGACCATGATGTGTTTTGTATGGGTTGCGTACCTGTGACTATATTGTGTGAATGTGTATTGAATAGGTGGCCTAACTACATAACAGCTTTGAGCCGACTGGAATGGGTTGGGGGGTTTTTTACTTTGAAATGTTATGAATTTGTGTTTTGGAATGTGTTCTCAATTTATTGTTTTATGGATCTATCACCACGATGTGTTCTGAGTGGGTTATGCATTTGTGACTACCACGTGTCAATGTGTTATGAATTTGTGGCTTGACTGCATGCCAGTATGTTATGCCTATGACCTGACTAGAATGGGGTGGGGGCTTTGCTTTTGGAATGTATTCTCAATTCATTGTGTTATGAATGTGTGACCATGATATGTTCTGAATGTGTTATGAATCTGCATCATGTGACTATAATGCCACCAAGATTTTATAAATATGTAGTTTTAGTGCAACTTTATTTATGTTTGTGACCTTGTTAAAAGTGTGTATCTGTGTGATTTTTCATACAAGCATTTAACACTGTGTCTACACTTAATGCAGGTTTGGGAATTCAAAATACCAAAAGAGAGCTGATTTCCAGACAAGATTACAATCTCAGTTAGTAAGGGTGCTCTAACCACCATTCAGACAAGTTAAGTCAATGACAAAAACTTATATTGATGGACAAATGTTTTGCCCATTTCTTGGATTTTCATGAAATTGTGATATAGTCGCAATTGATTCACTACTTCCTTCTGAGGCATGTTCATTACCCGAACGATTAAGAAATGTGGTTTTATGTGTCCGGGCGATATGCTCGGTTCTCTATCTCGGAGTTTTGTTTAGTCACGGGGTTGAGGTGTTCTGGGTATAATGATACACAAGTGTTTGAAAGTCAATAGTCACAGTTAAATGCAAAATATTTTTCTCAAGTGCACAGTGTAACCCACGAAGACATAAAGTCCACTTTCATATCTGCTTGCCAAATGCCGGACTTGGATCTTGTTGAAGCCCTTCTAGATAAGGTCGTTGCTATGATTGGGACGCTGTACTTCATCACCGCATATCTATTTCCCAGAGTTTATAAGAAAGTTGTTGACCACTTCCTATTCGTGCTCGTTGAGGATTTCTCTGCAATGAATCAGTTTCCGTGGGGCAAGTTATTATTTGAAATTATGTTGAGTGCATTGAAAGATGGGTTAAGTAGGAGGAACTCACACTATAGGCTACGAGATATGTTGGTAGCCTTTCAAGCATAGATATTTGAGATTTTTCCTAGCCTTGATGGAATTGTGGTCACACGGATATCAATGATGCATTTCCGCATCAAGAACTGAATTGCAGATGAGCAACCATCCATTGCCAAGTTGGAAGGACCTGACTGCTTCTCTAATCCTAACGTAAAGTTTCTGTAAGAATTATGTACTTAGTAATCATCTGTTGACATTACATTTCTCTAATCTATATCGTTCTGCAGATTGAGATTCGTGACCTAGAACCTTCGAAAACTAAAATGGCCATGCAATAATGAGTGGTGTCAAGCACAAGAAGCCAATTCAACTGAAGTTCTCACGAGACAACCGCAGAGATAAGAGTAAAATAGAAAGGTCAGTTGACCGTGCCGGTACGAGTGGGAAGTCAGGTCCATCAGTGTTATTGCTAACAGACAGCAGTGTTCGACGGGCTCGTGTTCCCCACAACAACGATGATATCCTCCTCCAAGATGGTAGGAGATATCTCCCCTTGAGAAATCTCCAACCGAATAATGCTCGTCAGTTGCTCATCATTCTCCAAAGGAACAACAGTCTCGTGAGGCTCAATGGGATGATGTAAGTTGTTATTTTAGTCAATTGTAAAACAATTATATCGTTGGTCACAGACCATTAGTTTCAGGTCATGTGTGGTTTAGATAAGGTCATACGTGATACATTTGTGTTGTCAGTGTGCAATATATGTTTCTATTTGGTCACAAGTCACATATAATAAGTTTATTTATTTTATCAGGAATTTGAGGAGTTGAGGATGCAAATATCTGAACTGAACTCTTATAATAAAGTGTTAAATGTGGAGCTTGATGACATTAAGTCTCAAATGTCATCAGTGAATGCTGAGCAGATGATGAAGATGAATTACATAGTCCAAATGCAATCTAACATAAAAAGTGACTTGATGGAGATTAGGACAAACATTCAATTCTTGTCAGAAATGGTGTTAGCAATGATTTCCAGTTTCATGGATGAAATTATGAGATGGTTTGGTCATCAAAAAAGTGATCATGAAGTTGGAGATAAAGATCCTCCCATTGTTGGAGGATCTGATAAGACCAAAAAGTAGTTACATTACATTTCCACATTTCGACAAGAGTTGCATTTGACAATTGAAACTCTCATTTTGGGTACAAGTGAAAATTGTCGAACCAAATGTAGACAGGAAAGGAAAGGGCAAAATGGACCCAAGTGATGATTTTGTTCTGCCGTATACTCTTGAATCACCATCATTTGACTTGGGGGTTTGATCTACACAACCTGACATTTTACATTCCGAAGACATTCAGAAGCATGTCGATTCGGTAATATCGGATGTGGTTACAGCAATTAAAACTGTTGATACCGAGGTATTCATAACTTCAGGATTCATACAACACGTAGTTCACAACTAGTAAATTGTCATAGGTCACAGATCACACTCATATGCTGGATGTCCACAGGTCACGGATCATAACTAGTACATGGTTATAGGTTATAGTTCATGTGCAGCATGCTAAACTAAGATGTGAGTTATCACAAATTCAGGATTCACAAAATGCATATACTAGTAAATGGCCATAGGTCATAGGTTACACATACTAACAAGTTCACAGTCAGTTCTTCGGTCACAGTTCATCTACTGGTAGACCACTGTTTATATGCTGCATACTAAACTGAATAAATGTACATAAACTAACATGTGACCTATTACAACATTACGCAAGGATCACCTACTGCTTAACCAACTTCTGAACTGTCAGTTAAGCGGGTTTCAAGGCTTGCAAAGATATTGCAGTCTCAATTTGTAGTTGTAGAAGGAAGTTATTCAAGCATGACGATATTGTTATTTTTGAAATTTACAAAGGTCATGTTGATGATATTGATAGCTCAGCATTCATGACTTGGTTCCAGAGAGGGTACAAACTAAAAACCAAGTATTTTTATTTTGTATCCATTTGTTACTTTTAATCGATAACTTATTGTAACACAATAACTTAATTTTTCATATTGGTCCCATGAAAAAGTTTAGCGATGACGATGGTAGAATGAAACCTGCTTTTGTTCTTGGTTCATGCCCAGTAAGTCATATGTCCTGGTTCTACCAGCTTAAAATTCAGAGTCATCTTTGATCAGTTCGATATGATTACATTTCTCTACTCATATAAGTCATGTTTCCATTACTAATTAGCCACAGAATGTATATACAGATACAAGACACAGTTACCTCATGTGTACACAAATTGCAGTCCATCGTCACAGATTACTGTCCATAGTCTATAGTCACAAATCACAGGTACATGGTTTATATAAATAGGTCACATTCCATATTACTGAGCTCTTTCCTTTTTATTGAAACAGCACATAAATGCATGCTTTTATTACATTCGCCAAGTTGCAAAATTTGGCAACAAAGTGAAGTTTAGAGCTACAATGATGACTCCTGGTTTCAGAATAAGATCAAAGTCATATACCCTGTTTTCTTGAAGGATCCCAATATTCTAATGTCAGAGTCTAGCTTTATTAACATTATAAGAGGTCACAGCCTTCCTTTGAGCACACCCTGGGCCGATGTTGACTACGTGTTCATGCCATTACAGCCCATCAACAAAGCTCACTAAATGCTTGGTTTGTTACAATTCAGAAGCCATACGTAGATGGTATTCAATTCGGTAGGCAAAAGTTACCGTGACTAGAAAATTGTACAAGGTATCAAGTCATTTGTGAAAATCTTACCTGCTCTTATGAATAATCTTAAAATTTCAAAAAAGGACCCTGATTATTATAAACCCAATTGCATGGAATTGAAGGTTACTATCGATGATACCCTACCTCAGCAAGCGAATGGGTAATTTTGTGATCAAGAGTACAATGTGTATAACTTTTAAAAAATTTCATTCATAATATTTTGTCTTGTGTTGTTTTGCAGTCTCGATTGTGGGATATTTGTGACTTTATATGCGTTATATATCCTCCGTGAAGGCAGGGAGTCCATTCCACATACATTTGATGCCAGCAAGTGTAGAATGAACATTTGCCACACTGTTGTGCAAGCATCGAGAGATGTACGTGAAGAGGGCGAAGTAACCTACACAGGGGAAGGAGATTATCATAGTATAAAAGAAGACTGAAAAATGTAAATGCAGTTGATGCTGTAGTTTGTACATGTTACAAATATTAGTATTTTCTGCTGAATGAAGGTAATTGTAATGAATACTAACATGTTGTTGTAAGCTTTGATTTGCAATACATGAACACATGTTTTTGCTCATAATATTGTATTGGTTACATACTATTGCAATGTTTCTCTAATAGAAACATTGCATTTCACAGGTCTCTGGATATCTTACGTCCCACACGTGATTCAAGTCACATGATACACAGCATAGTACATTGCATTTTCTCATGTATAGAGTTTGATGTGTCATATGACACAGGTCACAAGTACACAACATAGGACATATATCTGTTGGAGACGGTTGCATGTTAAACCATACAAGACACAAGTCACATGTTACACCATACATCATATATATTTGATGGAGAAGGTAGTCACATAAATGTCACTTTTGTTGCAAAGATAGTCACATATGTCTCACAACTCAGGTCACAGGTAGTTATGAGACAAAATTCAATTGAAATAGGTATCCCATCTGACATCCATCACAGGTTCTTGATGTCTGATGACCATCTCATAAAGAAAAATTTTCATTCTCCAGTGTATCCTGATTTTTGTCATATGATGCAGATCACGTGTCTTCGAACACAGAACACATATCTGATGGAGAAGGTTACATGTTATGATATATTTCTCACATTTTATGGTCTGAATGGAAGTTGTAGTCATATATATGTATCTCATACAACAGGTCACATATGGTTATCAAACATCTACAGTATTCAAACATAGGTCACTGTTTCTTATCATAGCAACTGTGCAGATGTCGAAACTCAATTGCACTTGAAAATACAATGGTCACAGGTAGATTTCACAGTGCTATTTCAATAAATGTTTGAAATAAAAGAACATGATATATCTATAATCTATCTGCATCATATGTTGACTTTTACTATCATTTATGTTTTCCTATGTCATGCTAGCTTAATGGAATCGCAATTGAGCATTTCCTACGCAATTGAGCATTTCCTACGGTTGTGACATTGTCCTCCACAGCGACCACATTTCACTGTTGGTTTTCCTTTTTTGGATGATTTCTTCCTCTTCTCAGTAGTTCTTCCAGAAATCCTCTTCTAGTTAGGAGTTAGCACAATTTTGACTTGTACTTTTTTAGGCACTGTCCATTCATTCTGATTCCGAACAGGATATATAGAATATTGGTATACATTGCCAAGGCATGCGGACACGGTATCAAATAAACTTGTAGCATCCTGCATGTACATGTACGTTGTTCATTACTAATACCATAGGTATGAGAAATAAGATTACAATGTAATCGAAGATGGATGAATTATGAACTTCAACACTTAATATCCTTCATCGCAAATGAAAGGTTACGAGTTAATATTCATTACAATAACCTCTATTGACAAGACACATGCAATGTTAATCTCATTTACAAACTAAATCCTTGTCTTCACTAACGTGTTTAAATCCAATTTTCATTCTATGATAAGTAGTTCCCTCGTCATAGTCATAGGCGGATTTACTGTCTTGGTGTAAACCTGCCTATGTTTGTGGAGCAGTGTAGCAATATCCATTTTGAACTTGCTGGCATCAAGCCTATGGAGAATGGAACATCTAACAACACGGATGATATATAGCGCATATAACACCACGAATATCCCGCAATCATGACTGCAGAACATATGATAGAATCTCATGAATGAATTGTTCAAAATGATATATACATTGTAAATCTTGGTCACAGACTTACCCATTTGTCTGCTGAGGAAGTGTGTCGTCGATGATCACATTCAATTCTTTGGCTTCTGGTTCTTGATAATCAGGATCCTTCTTTGAAATTCCCAGTGCATTCATTAGAACAGGCAATACCTTGATGTATGGCTCAATACCTTCCTTAACCTTCCAGTCACAGTAAGATTTACCTGTCGAGTTGAACACCATCAATGTATGGCTTCTGAATTCTAACAGGCCAAGCATTTAATGTGCTTTGTTGGTGGGTATGATCGGCATAAATACATAGTCAACATCGGCCCAAGGTGAGCCAAAAGGAAGGCTGTGACCTGTTACAAGGTCTACCAATCTAGACTCTGACATCAGAACATTTGAGTCTTTTATGAAGGCAGGGAAAATGTCTTTTATCTTAATTTGGAACTTTGAGTTTGTGGTGGTGGCTTTGTATTTCATATTTTTGCCGTGTTTTGCTAACTGGCGAATGAAGTAGAAGCAGACATCCATGTGCTATTTCAATGAAAAGAAAAGATTTAAGCAATACATACAACAGATGGGATAGTAATGACTCTGTGACTAGGTCCAATGTGAAGTGTCACATGTTCATATCATCTCTGTTACTCTTCTTAATGAGTACGAAGGAAATCAGACTTCTTAAGAAAGTAATGTAACTGAATTGAGTGCATAAATGTAATCATACCGTACCACTCAGTGATGACTGTGAATTTATAAGCTCGTGGAACCAGGTCTTATGACCTACTGGGAATGAACCAATTAGAAAAGCAGGCTTGATGGAGTCGTCTTCCTCGCTAAACTTTTCCTGTGATCGACACTAAAGGTTACATTCTTTTGCCACACTGTATTGAGTAACACTTCAAAAATAGGCACAAAATGCACTTACTTGTTTTTTCTTTTGTACGCCCTCTGGAACCAAGACATGAAGGCCGATTTGTCAACCTCATCAACGTCGTCTTTGTAATCCTCAAAAATGACAACATTATCATCGTGCTTGAATAATTTCCTTCTCTCCCGTCTAGCAACAAAAGGAAAATGCAATACCCTCGCAGGTCTTAAAACCCACTTAACTGGTAATTCAGAGGTTGGTTCAGAAGTAGGTGACCCCTGTATGTTATTGTAGTAGGTTAGAAGTTGGTTGAAAATAAGGCACGTGAGCTGTCTATGGCATAGTTTCAAAGCTTGTGTGGTCTGTCACCTATACATGTGACCTGGTTTGAGTGTGTGTGTGATATGTGACATATGACTGGAACATGGTTTGGAAGTTTGTGTGGCCTGTGACCTATGAATATAACATGGTTTGGAATGTATGTTATCTGTGACCTATGAATACGACATGGACTGAAGGTATGTGTGATCTATTACCTGAGAATGTGACATGGTTTGGAAGTTTGTTTGATTTGTGGCCTATGAATAGAACATGGTTTGAAGATGTCTATGCTCTATGACCCATGACTTGAACATGCGTTAGTATTGTGTGTGAACTGTGACCTAGGGACATAGTTTGGATTGTCTGTGATCTGTGACTTATTAATAGGAAGTGAACTTGAAGTGTGTGTGATTTGTCAGCTATGAATATAACATGGTTTGGAGGTATGTGTGATATGAGAACTGCGACTACTGGAACATGTAAATACCTAATTCCCAATAGTCTTCGTTGCCATCACCACATCAGATATGATGGAATCGACCCGCTTCTGAATTTCCTTTGAATGCAAAACATTGGGTAGGGTGTATTCAATCCCGAAATCAAAAGATGGCGGTTCAAGGGAAAATGGAAGACATCACTTGGGGTCCATTTTGCCCTTCCCTTTCCTGTCCACATTTGATACCACGTTTTTCACCTACAAGTTGAATGGGAAACGTCAAATGAAACTATGTTCTTTTACACAGATGTGAAAAATATCAAATGACTACCTCCTGAGCCTTGTCAGATCCAGAAGCAAGATAATGTTCTTGATCTCCAACTTCTGTTTGTCCCACTCCACGCTCACTTGTCCTGTTGCCAGACCGTCTAATGATCTCGTCCATTGCACTGGAGACCATTGCTGACACGGACTCCGATAGAAACCGCATGTTCGTTCGAATATCCATTATGTCACTTTTAATACAGGCTTGCATTTGTACAATGTCATCCATTTTGTTATTCTTCCCTTCGTTTAAGAATGACATCTGTGACTTGATTTTGTTAAGCTCCGCCTTCAACACTTTATTATCTGCGTGGACTTTGGATACCTGCATACGCAACTCCTCAGAGGCCTGACAAAGTGAATAATTGATTAGTATATGTAGCTTACAGAATATATGTGACCAAATTTCAACATACAGTGCACACTGGTATATCTGTGACCTGATGTGTATGAAATGTGACATAGAAAATAGTGATGTGTGACCAATGATGGAGATATTAAAAATTGACTTACATAACAACTTACGTCATCCAGTTGTGTCCCATGAGATTGTGGTTCTTCTTGAGAATGATGAACAACTAATGGGCCTTCAACAACTGGGGATTTTTCACGGGCAGATAGCTCCTGCCGTCTTGGAGGAGAAGCAACAAAATTGTAGTTATCATCTGATGAGTGAGCTTGTCTAAGACTACTGTCCATCAAATGTAGGACTGATGGAATGGACTTTTCGCTAGTGCCAGCATCTTCAACAGTCCTCTCTGTCTTGCACTTGGTTTTTCAACGGCTCTCGGATGAGGATGTCGGCTGGATTAGCTTGTTGTACTAGACTTCGTTCATGTATGGCATCGCCATTTCACTTTCCAACGGTTCCAAGTTACAAATCTCAATCTGCAATACAATACGTAGATTATACGAATGCAAAGTCAAAAGTTCAGTATTGATTACATGACGCTTACTAGATGTTTACCTTAGGATTGGAGAAGTAGTCGGGTCCTTCCAATTTAGCAGCTGATGATTGCTCATTTGCCATCCAGTTTACGATGCGAGGATGCACCCTCGATATCCTTGTGACCATAATGCTGTCAAGACTGGGAAAAGTCTCGTATATCTATACTTGGAAGGCTACAAGCATTCCTTGTAACCTGTAGTGTGGAGTCCTCCTACTGAGGCCATCTCTCAATGCACCCAAAGTAATTTGGAATAGTAGCTTGCCCTATGGAAAACTATTCATTTCATTAAAGTCCTCAACAAGAACAAAAAGGAAGTGGTCGACAACCTTTTTGTAGTCACGAGGGAAGAGATAGACAGTTATGAAATACAAAGCCCCGAACATTGCAACGCCATTGTCTGGTATGGCTTCAACGAGATCGAGGTCAAGCATTTGGCATGCAGACAGA